AACTTAAATTTTGTTCCAGTTTCATAACTTTGTAACTTCAATTTCACAAGTTATCATGCTTCCTTTTCAGTTTTACCAAGAACAAGCCCTTGAAAGCATAAATAGTGCCGAATGATAGAACTTAAAACATATAATCATGCAACTAATAATTTATAACTTTCATCTGATCACAAAATCACATTAAAGAGCAATAAAAAAAATAAACACATCTAAAAGGATACGAAAACAAGCTTGTGAGAGAATTTACAATTGAAAGATGATTCATTCGTGACATATTTACTTCAAAGAATGACTTAGGATTAGAATTAAAAGTGTATACTTTGGTTTTAAGCGTCACAATCAGCGGAATTAATATTCAAATAATTTCAGTATTAGTTAACTCCATAATTCTAAATATTAGAAAAATAATAAATTTTGCTCAATATAAAATTTACTTTTAAAGCGGAAAATGTTCAATCAACATTTCATGTTGGAGGATATGCAAGGAGGGCATAATCTTTGGAAAAACGTAACAAAACTTTTAGTCATTTCTGTTGTATAATACTGAATCTACAATGTTCAGATATTTATTATATACTTTTAACACTTTTTCAAACATTCGTCAAATTAACCTAACTAATATTGTGTGACTATTTTACAATATATATATATATATATATATATATATATATAGAGAGAGAGAGAGAGAGAGAGAGATTTATTTGAATCGAAGAAAAATGAAAATAAAAAATTAATGTCAATTCATTTTGAATACATTTTGTCTTCTACTATTTCATTTTCATTTCTCAAGTTTGAATTTTAACCGTAATCGATTTTGCTCTATTTTCGATTTCTGTCATCACCAGTGATCTTTTTATGAAAATAAATTTATGTACTCTAAGATTTGTTTAAATTGAAAATAATTTTACTTTTATGATGAGTTTGAAAAATAATATAATTGGGATCTTTTTCAATTAATTAAATCAAATACTTAATTATTCGTTCTTAATATTTAAAAGAAATAATTAGATTTTATTTATTCAAATTTTTATGATTAGCTCATACCAAATTCAAATTTTTTGATTATAATTATATTTTTATTCAATTTTTTTTTTCAAATTGTAATCAATTGAATGGGGTGGAAAATCGTCCATGCTAGACGTGTTCCAAAACGAAAAAGGCAAGCAAAAGAGAAATCTTTGTAAATCTCAAAGAACTAAGAATCACTGTATATCAGAAATAAAATTTAAGATTTAAATGTCGTTTTAGAAACCACAATTAATTTTTGTAGTTAAGAAAGCCATGTATATTTAGCTAAATGTATCATTAATTGAAAATAAAAAAAATCCCATAACTTATCTTGTTCTAATAATTGATAAATTTTGTGTTTATTATTGATTTGTGCTCAATATTTCGCATAATAATAATAGTTCTTTTGAAACTCAAAATGTAATATCGAATAATATTATTAGTGTCATAGTCTTGTATATTTAAATTATCTTAATATTTAAAAACTCATAAAAATCAAACGTAAATAACTTATTAGAAAATGGATCACATCAATATTATTCAAGAATTGGTTTCGTTCAACATTTATTGATGAGGTATTAGCAGTTGTTTTTATCCTACTTACATCTTCAAGACTTGTAGAAGGATTTCAAATCACTTACGTCCTCTTTCTTCAATCTTTTTATTCTTTCTTGTATTTATTTTATTTATTATTTATACATAATTTAGGGTATGATTTATATAAAGTAAAATCTTAAGTTTTATTAATTTAAAATATCTAAAAATTAGAAAAATAATTAAATGAAGTATTTCTTATAATAACTAACATAAATTTGGAGGGACTTCATATTTTCCTTTTTGTTGATAAAGATCAAGTTTGAAATAGTAAAAAATATTAATGTTAGATTCTCTTATTTTACTCTAGGTAAACATGAATTCATTAATAGTATTTTATTGAATTTTTACAATTCAAATTATAGGCGCAATATCTCTTATTAATGAAAGGTATGGAAAAACAAACGTGCTAAAAATATGTTGGTGGTTTTACTTTCCTTTAACGGTCTTATTAAGATAAAATTTTAGTATCTGATTTTGAATCCTAAAACCTAGTTCAAATAAGGAAGTATTTGATATGCAAAATATAATTAATATTGAAATTCTAAATATTAGGAAAATAACTAAAATTACTATTTTATCCAATATATAATATGTTTTTAAAGGGTAAAAAAGGCGAACGACATTTTGCTAAGGGCCTTCGTGCTTTTAATATAGTATATATATAGATATAGATTATTTCCACTTTAAATCAAATTGCTAATGCTGCAGATCTTGTTAAGAAGGGAAAAGATATGTGAGTTTATAAGACTTAGAGCCCGTTTGGTCAAGCTGCAAAAATCTGCTTATTTTGAAAAGTACTTTTTTCTGAAGTACTTTTTTTTTAAGTACTTTTGAAAAAAAAAATTGTTTGTGTTTGGCCAAGTCATTTAAGAAGTACTTTTGCAACATTTGGTAAATAATTTGTGTTTGGCCAATCATTTCAAAAAGTGCTTTTGAGTGTCAAATTACCAAAAAGGATAGTACCAAGGTCGTATAATTCTTTCAAGTATAAAAATGAACTTAAATATTTATCGTAAGAGACTTCTATTTATTTTTTATTTTATTTAATTAAAATATAAAACATAAAGTAAACAAACATATTAAAGATTTAAATCAATTTTACATATATAGTTATACTAAATTATATGATATTATCCAGTATAATTACTTATTTTTATATGATGATTTGAATAATTAAAATAACATCATTCAGAATAAATTAGAAGTCTATCCACAAATTACTATATATTGATTATCCACATGAAATAATAAGTAAAGTCACTCACACATGATAATACTTCTCAACAGTTTCATCTCTACTTCTATCACACAACGCTTCCATATTAGTAGAAGACTTGGCTCGCATTTCTAAAGGAATATCAGAAGGCTGATCTCCTTCATCAATCTCTGCAGTAATGTCTTCATTAGCATAATAGTTGAATTCTTTATCGGTAAAAGAATGTTTTCGGATGAAATTATGTATAGCCATGGTAGTTGTAACTAGATGATTTTGAGTGTCAAACTTGAAAGATGGCATTGAGCGTAAAATAAAAATAATTTTAAATATATAAAAAAAATGTAAACGAAAATAGTTAAGTATGTTTAACTTCTAATTCAAAAAGTGTAACTAATTATAACAACACATAATGTATAATTTACTTTTTTTAAAAAAAATTTAAATTCAAAAAGAAACTAATTATTACCTAATATGTAGATAGATCATGCAATGCAATTGTAAATTTATTACCTATTTGCAGGTCATTTTCACAAATCAAATTTGAAAATTGTTTTTAAAGATTCGGGAACTAATAGCATATAATAGAAGAAATTATAAATAATTATTTGTAAGAAGAGAATTGATAATCCAAAGAAGATGCAGATAATTTGCTTTAGTGTGAAAAAAGAAGAAGATAATTTGGAAAGTTACGAGACATTACACAAAGAAAAGATAAAAAACAAGAAAAGTCAATAAAAAATTTGAAAAGTTACAATATGATTCATATATATGATATCTTTAATTTTAATGGGATGATAAAAACTAGAAACAAAAATGAAAAGAAAAAACTTAAATTAGTAAGGGATAATTTGGAAAATATAAATTTATGGTGAGGATAGTTTTGTCTTGAATAAATTAATTTCTACTTCTGCTTCTGCTTCTTGGAAGAAGCTAGAATTTTCTGCTTCTTCCCAAAACCAGAAAAACTGCTTCTGCTGCTGGCAAAAAGTACTTTTCTGTATTGGCCAAACAACTCAAATTTTTTATAAAGTAATTTTTTTGGGTGGAAAAAGTACTTTTGGCCTCCCAGAAGCTTGGCCAAACAGACTCTTAGGAAATTTAAGTTAATAAAATCCAAGTCTTTGCTATCTGAAAAAATGTTGTTAAGTAATAGCTTGCGCCAAAGGAACTGAGAGATGTCATGCCACGATCTTTAGTATTCCTGCTATTCCAAAGAGCGGGGTCTGATGTGGAGCTAACATGGCTGGCTACATATAAGTATAGCCAAATGAGATGGGACAACTGTTTAGGCCACAGCGCCCGGCAGGACTACCATGTATAGGATATTCGCCCTCGCTAGCCAACACGAACGGGCACATACTTAGTTTCATTTTTGGGTTAATGGATTGGATTCAGTCAGCCTCACAACATAATTAGAGTGAGGTTTTGGTCACTGAAACTCGCAGCTTCCGCTTGACTGGGCGGTGCTCTGACCGATTGAACTACCATACCAGAAAAATTAGGTGTAAAACCTAATACCAATTTAGATGGTGTTGAGATAGGCATTCAGAATGGAACAACTAATTTAAGAGCATGCTGAATTCAACAACAACAATATATCCAGTATAATTTCACAAGTGGGATCCAGGGAATGTTGAGTATACATAGACATTACCCCTACCTTGTGAAGATAAATAGGTTGTTTCCGATAGTAAGCTGTATTCAACTATTGCAAAAACAATACCAAAAAAGAAAAAAAGGTCTACATTGCATGAAATTCCGAAATGGTAAAGAAAGGGAAATCCAGATTCTTTCTTTCACTTTTGTAGAACAAACTAGTGAAAAGGGAATACAGAGAATTAATGTACAGGATCATGCTCATAGGCCAAAAAGAACTTCTGTTTTGACAGTTGCTTGGCTATGTTTTTTGGCAGGACATTTGAAAAGGAAGTAAACAAACAACAAAGTTGGTGTTTTACAGGTAGCAAGCAGGAAAACTAACACATAATTTGCTGATCTGCTGTACATTTATTACATAGCTCTGCTATGCAATGCTTAATTATTTCAATATAGCATCAGTTCTGCCAGCTACAATCAGCAAGACGAAGAATAAAAAACTATCAATGAACTTATGAAATGAAAGCAAACTAAGTCGTGCGCAATCCAAATACGAAGGAAGAATAGGCAAGTCCATGAAAAATATCAGAAAGTGCAAGTGATGTTCAACATATTGCAAGATAAATATTGAACAAAATGTTTTCCCAGAAAGACAAATCAAGAATGTTTATCAATTGACAAGCAGGTCATGTCAAATGGCACCTTCTAACTGTTTTATTATTGCTCAGCTGACTTCTTAATAACCAATACATGATACATTGAAAATTGCATATAAATTCCTAACATATCATCTCACATATCATGATGAATTCACACAGAGAAAAGATATAAAGGATTCATACAACCTCCACCATACTAGTCTAGTCTGCAATTGAGGCGTAGTTGATCGATTGATCGATCATCTGGGATTGCTACTCACCAATCGAGCACCAACCCGATCAAGCTTTTTGACCATAGCCAAAGCCTTCAACTTCCCTTCTTTCATAAACGCTTCCACCATTCTCTCACCAATCTCCCTCCCTCTCTCCTCCCCATCCGTCACTGCCACCAGAGTTGGTCCCGCCCCGCTAATCGTGCAACCAAACGCCCCGGCTTCCAACGCTGCCTTCTTCACTCCCTGCATCCCCGGTATCAACGGCCCTCTTTTAGGCTCCACTATCTTATCCGACGACAACGCCTTCCCCAAACCCCTCGAATCCCCTTGCAATATCGCCGCCACCAATGCCCCCGCCTGACTACTATTCCATATATGATGGGACATTGTCACCTCATTCGGCAATGCTGCTCTCATCTTCTTTGTTGGAGCTTCAAATTCAGGATTCACAAGCACAAAGAACAAATCTTTTTCAAGTGGAAACTTCAATTCGATCAATTCTAACGGATCATAGCTTCTTATTAACACAAAACCGCCCATTATAGCAGGTGCTATATTATCAGCATGATAACCAGAGACTTTTGTTTCAGATTCTAACCCAGCAAGAACAAGATCAGATACACTTAATTTCCCGCCAAAAAGCTCGTTCACGGCCACCGCTGCCGCCGCAGCACTGGCGGCGCTAGAACCGAGTCCACTACCCAAAGGCAGCCCTTTTTCAAGGGAAATCGAAAGACCTACGGACTGTATATTAAGCATTTTCATGACGGAGATAGCAGCTATACCTGCACAGTTCGATAAAGGGTCTTTGCTCAACTTTTCGCCGTCGCCGGAGATGTCGGAGATTGAAACTTCGCCAGGTTTGACTTTTGAGTCAACGCGGAGAGTGATGAAATCGCCGATCCCGTCGACGGCGCAGCCGAGGAAATCAAATCCCGGGCCCAGATTCGCCACTGTCGCCGGAGCAAATGACTTGACGGAGGCGAAAACGGGTTCGGGTTCAGGTATGGTGATATGGGTTGTTTGGGTTTTGGAAGGGACTGCTGAGAGATTGAATCCGGAAGAGAATCGGGTTTTGATGGGGTAAAGAGAGGGAGGATTATTAGGGATGGGATTGGAGGTGGTGAAGTTGAGTTTAATGGGAGATTGATAGCATATAGCAGCCATTGATGTGAGAGTTGATAGTTAAGGGGGCAGAACAAAACAAATGGAAAACAGGGTTTTAACTCTGTGGCAGACTCAAAGATTCTGAGTTTGTTGTACTATATGTAGGAACAAGGACACTTAAGATTAATATCATTAAAGTAATGATAATGAAAGAAAATATAAGATATATAAAGAGAACAAATTTCATATATTAAAATTAAAGTGTATATAGTTAATAAACAAAATTATTTATAACTATGAAAAAATAAATATCACGTCTTTTTTTTTTTGGTTAAACGGATGCATATTTAATTAACACCAAACTACCCGTTAGGGCGTACAAAAATATTGTTGTGGGTGGGTATGTGATACCCCCCTCTAGCATACTGTTACTATCACTATTACAAACCATTGTTTTCCTTTCAAACAAAGTTCCTGCGATGTCTGCCCAAAACACATGTTTGACAAACACCGGAGGAACTAATGTTACAAAAACATCTTCAAAAAAAAAAATTCTTGTTCCTTCCTTTGCTAGCATGTCAGCAACTTTGTTGGTCTCCCTGTAGCTGTGCTTCACCACCACGTCGCCTAGTCTTTGGATGATTGACCTGCATTCATGAATAATGGAGTCAAAATAGAGGTTTCCATTAGTTAGCATTCTAATTACCTTCGTCGAGTCAATGTTTATTTCCAAAGGTGTGAACTGTCTTTCTTCTGCAATTTGTAGTCCTTTAAGAAGAGCTAGTAGTTCTGCTTGGGTGTTGGTGGCGTATTGGATTGATCCCATGAAGCCCAACATCCAGTTTCCACTTGCATTTCTGAATACTCCCCCCAGACCTCCCTTACCCGGATTCCCTGTTGCAGCTCCATCAGTATTTAGTTTGAAGGAGTTGTTTTTTGGTGGCTCCCATTTTACCCAGATTTTCCTCATGTTTTTTTGCTCTTAATCCAACATCATTGTGGCATATTCAGTAGCCTTTGCTATTGCACATTTTGAGTCTGCCCTATCTTTTTTGTATTGAAGAGATTATTATTCCTTGTTAGCCAAATTTGCCAGAAACAAAAAGATATGAGCTCTTCCCAAGTAATGATGCTGTTGTATGCTTTTTTATTTAGGGTTGCCCAAGTGGTTGGCCAATCTGTGGTGTTGAAAGCATGGATAGAAGTATTGATTTCCTTATTGCTTTTGGAAATGATGTCTTGCCAGAAGGTGTGTGCAATGGGACATTCAAAGAAGACATGTGCTGAGGTTTCGTTTGCCTGGCTGCATTGGTGGCAACTGGGATTTGGTTGTACCCCCACATAATGGAGGTAGGCTCCAGTGGGGAGCCTTTCATGGAAAAGTAACCAGAAAAAGGATTGTATTTTTTTTTTTGGGCACTTTTAGCTTCCATATCCAAGTGAAATTATGAGTCATTGTTTCCTGACCTTGATCTAGAATTGAATAGGCTGATTTTGTGGAGTATAGACCATTTGGTGTTGCTCCCCATATCATTTTATCCTCATTTAGTGGATTGGGTGGGATGAAAGTATTGTGGATAAATTTTGGACATTTTGGGGGATGGTAATGGAGAGAGTAGAGAGGTCCCACACTCCATGGTGATGGACATTAGCAACTGTTTTGGACATATCTTCTCTTGTCAAAGGACCTTGAATTAGTGACCTTATGGCAGGGAGGTTATTTATCCAATGGTCGTTAAAAAAGTTCACTCTGTTTCCTGAGTGAACTGCCCACCTTTTTGCTTGCATGCATGTTTCCCATCCTTTCAGGATGCATTGCCATGTGTGGGACTTTGCCTTTTTGGGAGGGTTCCTCCAATTGCAGTGTTTTGCAATAAGAGTTTTTACCCAAAGGGATGTTGGGTTTTGGTATAGTCTCCAAGCAAGGCCTGAGTGCTGGGCTTTATTCTTTAATTCAGCTTTCTGAATTCCCAGTCCCCCCTTATCCTTGGGGTTTGTAACTGTGTCCCAAGATATCAGATGCATTTCTTTTTAGTAGTAGTGGTGCCCCAGATGAAGTTCCTCTGAACTTTATCAATTTCTTTGCTTGTTTTTGCTGGCAGTTTGATGTACTGCATGACATGGTTCGGAATTGAGTTTAGGGATGCTTTTGCCAGAGTAGTTCTTCCAGTCATATTAAGCATGCTTGTTTTCCACCCTGCCATTTTGAGTGAAGATTGTCAATAATGAACTGGAAATCACTATGAGTGGGTTTTTTATGGAAAATTGGGAATCCCAGGTACTTCCCAAAGTTTGTTGATGCTTTTATGGAGAGAGAGTTTGAAATGAGTTCCATTTAGTGATCATGAGGTTGGGGGTTATTACTGAAACAAATTTTGGATTTATTGAGATTGATTTTTTGCCCTGATCCTAAATTGAAAGAATTTAAGGTATTCATGATTGTGTTGCAACTTGGAAGATTAGCTTTTGCAAAGAGAGTTAAGTCATCAGCAAAGAAGAGATGATATCACGTCAAATAATATTGCAACTATGTATAAAAATAAAAAAAACGATGCCAAACATTTTGAAACTTGTCAATGGTAAGATGGTGTCCAATTAATTGTAAATATAAAATCTAAACAGTTAAATTAATTTGCATTCTTAAAAAATTACAAAATATGTATATACTATTACGATTACTGGAACAATTGTCAAATATTTTAGATATCGAAATGCTGAAAATGTGTTATATAATTTATACACTGAAGTTTTCAGTATATAAAATAAAACTAAAATATGTATTGTGAGAAGTAGTTGAAAGCCTGAAATTCCTCTTAAATTAATATTGGGTTAGATTTACTTTTACTATAAAATATGTATGTAGAAGATAAATTTGAAGAGATGCACGTAAATAGTAGGGGTGTCAATGGTTCGGTTCGGCCGGTTATTTTATAAAATTTGTACCATACCAATTTTGCGGTTATTCTATTATGTATAATCGAAATTAGACTTTTCGAAACCGCCCCAATCATGTCGGTTTCTCTTCGGTATCGATTCGGTAAATTTTCGATAATATTTTTAAATGTCATGTAAAAATCACTAGTAGAAGTAGAATGCAATAACATACGTACTTTTACAGGACTTAGCATAATTCTGTAAACATTTTTACAGCTTAAAAGGTGATGAATTAAGAAAATATGAAAGACGACTAGAGTATAGATCCATCAACTATTCTACATGAGCGTAAAAGAAACTAAACAAATACAAAAAAAATATAAATCACACGAGTGGAACGATATTAACCAAGTTAAGATTCAAGAATAAAGTCTATAAAAGATCAAAAATTCAAAAAGATAAATCTATAGCATACAAAAGGAAACATATTCAATATATTATAGTTTGCTACTCATAATCGCTACAATACATTGTGTCTTGCTGGTGAATATGCTAGAAATAATTTAGTTTCAATACGAGTAGCGTAATAGGTTTGGGAATTATGATTTTGAGTTTAATTACTTGTTGGTTTGTAAATGTTTCATAATTCCAAAACTTAAGAAAAAATTTAATGCTTTATTATTTTTAAAATTAATATATAAATATATTTTTTACATTATAAATTTATTCGGTACGGTTCGGTATTTTTTGGTTTATTTTCATAAAATAAAAAATCTACCCTAATTATCGGTATGGTTATAGATTTATATAAAAACCTGCAGTTTTATTAAAAGAAACCTAAAAATCGGTTCGATGGTACGGTACGGTACAGTTTAGTCGGTTTAGTCGGTTTTTAAATATCCATTAACACCCATAGTAAATAGGACGCCAAAATTAAAACCCTCCAGCATTCTTTGACTTTAGGAATCTTAAATTGAAAAAAGAAAAAAAATACCATATACGAAATGAAGGGCAGGGGCAAAGGCGTTCGAGTATGGGGTGGGTAACGTGATAACTCTTACCCCATTAGGCTACCAACTAAATTAATGATAATCACAAATCAAGAATTTTGTTATAAATAGAATTCTATTTATGGTAAATGTCTATATTTAGAGAGATTCTAGGAATTATTACTTGGTGGCTAAGTCACTTTTTCCCTATAAATAGAGGGTCTTATTCCATTGTAATTCATCCCAAAAATTCAATAAGAATTCCCTCTCTTTCTCTCTGCAATATTGTTCTTCTACTTTTATTGTTTCATAACACGTTATCAGCACGAGACTCTAACCAATTGAGTAGAAGCTTTGTGATTGAGCATAATGATTGTCAATTATTCCATGAACTTCCTTCATGATTAAATTCTGAATTTAAGGTATGTATTTTACCGTATTTTCTCTTTTATTCTATAATTTGATTTTAAATACAAGCAAAGACAATAAATTTTGATTATAACTCTAATGGAGTTAGTAAGAAATTATAATCATTCAAAGTGATAAAATTTCTATGTCTTGCCATGATCAAAGTTATGTATGATCGTGAGCACAAGAAGTGAAAACACGTCCCATTGAATTTGCTCCATTCTCATTCCCTTAAGAGATGTGATAGCAATATGTGATAAGTGTGAAAGAAGACAAAATTATTACCGTGAGGGTGTCAATTTATGTGGACACGACAATAGACGAAATTATAATCGTCATCATTGTGATAATGAGAATAATAAGGATTCTCAAAATAATCCTTCACTTTGTGAAAGTAATATTTGTCATTGATTAGACATGAGATTTTATAAAGCACATATAGATGATTATGGTCCATTCATGATGTGAATGTGACAACATCTCATTTATGAATACATATTCATTCTTGGAAGAATATGAACGTGCTAGTGGTACTGAATATACCACACTAACCTCTACAAAGAAGTTTGGGATGAAATAAGAATTTTTTTTTCATTATTATGGCATAAATGGTCATTGGTCACGTATTGGCATTGTGATTATTAAAAGACAACGTAATGCAAGAAACAGATCTTGCATATAATTTTGACCATAACCATAATGGTATAACTTTCTCTTTAAAAGAGATATTCACCATATGGATGTTGATGAATATGTGGTAGTACCAAATTAATTGAGAGCTCTGAAAGAGCAAATTATTACTATTTTGGAGAAATATAATTGATAACCAATAAGGTATTGTGTTGTAGTAAGTTTCAAAAAAACTTATTCAGTTTCCAAAGTATAC